GCTTGAGCAGCCTCGGACATTTGAACCGGTGGCATATAATCCTAGAGTGTCCGCAGCCAATTTCCGTCAGCTGCCAGAACCCGGCTCAGAACCTGGCCCTTCCAACAGACCACAGCAAATGGATGCTGCAGAGGCAATGCGGCGTCTGCGGGAGCTTGAGCAGCCTCGGGTGTTTGAACCAGTTCCGTACAATCGTAGACAGCAGGCTGCTGCCAATTTCCCTCCACCACCAGACCCAGGTCCAGAAGATGAGCCTGAGCCCGATCCACAGCCAGACCCTGATCCTGACCCCCTTCCTGATCCTCCCGTGGATCCTAACAACCACGCTATGGACCCTGCCAATCTGCCCAGATATTTCCGTCCATTTGATGAGAATAATGTGGAGGCTCTTAATCTGGGGCGAATGGACATTCAATGTCCTCACTGTGGTGCACTTCACTGGGAGGCTGAAAAGCTGTCCACATCAAGGGCAGGCGCTCCGTGCTTTGGTACCTGTTGCCTGCAGGGGAAAGTGGTTCTTCCCCCTGTCCAAGCTCCGCCTATGGACCTGTTGCATCTGTACAATGGCGTGAGCCCGCACTCTGAGCACTTTCTCAAAAACATCAGGAGATACAATGCGGCTTTTGCTCTGGCCTCTCTCGGCGTGAAGGTCGACCGCTCAGTGCAGGATGGCCGCGGTCCCTATGTTTTCAAAATTCATGGAGGGCTGTATCATCGTGTTGGAGCCCTGCTACCACAGCCAGGCAGAGATCCAGTCTACGCACAGCTCTACTTTTATTCCACAGCGGACGCAAACAGGTATCGCCTGAATCGGCGGGAGAATGCAGCTCATGGTCACATGGACGGACTGGATCCGCAGGTGATGGGAATACTGGACACTGTCCTTCGCGAGAACCATGCCTTTGTCCGCCAGTTCAAAACCGCCTTCGAGCGTCTGCGGCATCAAGCAGACCAGCACCCTCAGGCTCCTGTAGAGCTGCGTGCTGTCATCCGCCTCGAGAGGGGCACCGATCCACGGCGCTACAATGTGCCCACCGCAGACGATGTTGCAGTCATTCTTCCTGGAGACGGCTCTGTTGTCCCAGAGAGTCGGGACTTGGTGCTCCAGTATCGGCACGGGGGATTGAAGCGGATTTATGAGACAAATGCTTCCTATCAGCCCAGTGTCTATGTTCTCCTCTTTCCCCGTGGCGAACTTGGCTGGCACCCTGGCATTCCACTGAGTGTGGCAGATGCAGATCAGGACGAAGAATGGGAAGAATGTTCCAATCGCCGGCAGAATATGTCACTTCTGGAGTACTACGCTTATCGGCTTCACCCGCGCAAGGTGGAGGTAGAGTCTAACCACATCTTTCGGTCAAAGGCCTTGCTGCAGCAGTGGATCGTGGATGGGTGGGCCGCTACAGATCAGAGAAACCTGAACTATTTGAGGAATAATCAGCGGAAGCTCCGTGTGGACCTGTACAAAGGATTGGCGGATGCTCTTGCAGCAGATGTAGACTTGCAGTTGGGTGAACAGGGACAGCGCTTCATCCTGCCATCCTCTTATACGGGCGGCTCCCGTTTCATGTTCCAGATCTATCAGGACTCTTTGGCTATCGCCCGGTTCTGTGGAAAACCCGATTGGTTCCTCACCATGACAGCAGATCCAAACTCCCCTGAGATCTTGGCAGAGCTGCTGCCTGGGCAGCAGGCAGTGGATCGCCCAGACTTAGTGGCACGCGTCTTCCGTGAGAAGGTCCGCCTGCTTCTGAAGTACATCAAAGCGGGCGACTTTGGACCCTTTGCAGGGGTGGTCTACACAATCGAGTTTCAGAAGCGTGGCCTGCCACACATCCACCTCCTGATCTTTTTGAAACATCATGTCAAAACCGCTGAAGAGATTGATGCCGTCATCTCTGCTGAGATCCCTGATCCTGTAGAGCAGCCCAAGCTGTACGACTTGGTGACCAGGCTCATGATTCATGGTCCCTGCGGTGATCTGAATCAAAATGCACCCTGCATGGTGGATGGCAAGTGTAGCAAGGGCTTCCCAAAGCCATTCCAGGAACACACAGAGGTCGCAGGTGAAGGCTATGTCAAGCTGAAGCGTCCAAATAATGGCCGGACCTTCATCAATGCCAGGGGCCACGTTGTCGATAACAAATGGGTGGTGTCGTATCCGAAACAGTGAGTCCAAAACACACGCAAGCCATCTCAGTGCTGATGCGGCCGCCCTAGAGCTATTCTGGAGTTTCGTTGCCACATGTGCCAGGAGTGCTGCATCTCTATCAAGGCCACCAAATACATACACAAGTACATCCACAAGGGGTCTGATCGCAGCACTCTGACCATTGAAGACAAGAACGATGAGATCAAGCTCCATCTGGACAGCCGCTACATCTCTGCACCAGAGGCTGTCTGGCGACTCTTCCGATACGAGATGCACGAAGAGAAGCCCACCGTCGTACGTCTTCAGCTGCACCTCCCTGATCAAGAGCCTGTGGTTTTTGAGGAAGACCAGGACGCCGCCGAGGTTCTTGAAAATGCGCGGAACAAAAAGACCACCTTGACCGGCTACTTTCGTGCCAATCAGCTCTACCCTGAGGCTCGCCAGTACCTGTATCAGGAGTTTCCCCAGCACTACGTGTGGAACAAGAGATCGACTAAATGGACTCCCAGACAACGTGGGTTCGCTATCGGGCGCATGTATTTTGCTGGGCCATCTTCCGGAGAACGCTTCTTTCTCAGGCTGCTGCTCACTGTTGTTCGAGGGGCAACATCATTCTCTGAGCTACGCACTGTTGATGACATAGAGCACGCTACATTCCGGGAGGCATGCATTGCCAGAGGTCTCCTTGAGAACGACCATGAGTGGGAGCTTTGCCTCTCAGAGGCTGCTGCCATGCAGACCGGCCATCAGCTTCGCCAGCTCTTTGCAACAATCCTTCGGGAGAATTGCCCTTTGCAGGATCCCGTCGCACTCTGGGACCGCTTCAAGGCCGACATCTGTGATGACCTACGCAACAAGCTGATCCAGCGTATGAACATCCCAGAGCCCACGGAGGACCAGATCTACGACTACGGGCTTCATCTCATCGACGTTGTCCTGAGCTCCTCAGGAAAATCCCTGGAAGACTTTGCTCCTATGCCCCGCCCACAGCAGGATTGGCAGCAGCTGGGTGTGAACCGGCTGATCGCTGAGCAGCTGAACTATGATCGTGCAGAGCAGCAGGCAGAGGCAGACACCCGCATCGCAACTCTCAATGTGGAGCAGCGTGCTGCTTTTGACGTTATAATGAAGTCTGTTCTTGAACAGGACCCACAGCTGTTTTTCCTTCATGGTCCTGGAGGCACTGGCAAAACTCACGTGTACACCACCCTCTGCAATGCTTTGCGTGCCCAGGGCTTGATTGTCCTCTGTGTGGCTTCCTCCGGCATCGCCGCTTTGCTCTTACCCGGCGGGCGAACTGCTCACTCTGTGTTCAAGATCCCCATTGAGCTGTGGGACGATATCCTGTGCAACATCAAAAAGGCGTCACTCCTGGCAGAGCTCCTAAAAAAGGTCTCTCTTATTGTCTGGGATGAGCTGCCTGCTCAGGACAGGCGTGCGGCCGAGGCTGTGGACAAGACTATGCGGGACATCCGCAACATCGACCGGCCATATGGGGGGGTGACCATGGTCTATGGTGGGGACTGGCAACAGACCCTGCCTGTGGTTGTGAAGGGGACCAGAGAACAGATCTTGGAGGTCTGTCTTCAGCGCTCATACCTGTGGCGTGAGGTCAAGGTGCTCCATCTGACCCAGAACATGAGGCTAGGAGGTCCAAATGCTCTCCAGGAGGATAGAGACTTTGCCAAGTGGCTCCTTGAGGTGGGCTCAGGCCGTGCCACAGATGACACATTCTGTGTCAAGCTCCCTGAGACTATGGCACTCCAGCAGAATTCCCTGGACTGTCTCATCAACACCATTTATCCTGGCCTCTCTGAGATCCCCTCCAATCATCATCAGGACCAGTTCTTCATGGAGCGTACAATTCTCTCTGCATGGAATGAGGAGGTCGATGAACTAAATCAAAAGATGCTTGACCCGTTTGCCGGGGAGGAGGTCATTTTCCACAGTGCAGACACTGCACTCACAGAGGAAGGCTTGGACAATAACTTTGAATATCCCACAGAGTTCTTGAACACAGTCAAGGCATCCGGCTTGCCTCTGGCCAAGTTGTGCTTGAAGATCGGATGTCCTGTCATGGTCCTTCGAAATCTTGACCCCTCCCGTGGCCTTTGCAATGGGTCAAGAGGCATTCTCACTCGCATTCAACCACATGTTCTCGAAATTCGCCTGCTCGGTGGTGACTACCATGGCAAATGCTCATTCATTCCACGTATGACAATCACACCAACGGCAGCACAGGTCGGACTTGCCATGAAGCGCCGCCAGTTCCCTATACGACTTGCCTTTGCTATGACAATCAACAAGTCACAGGGACAGTCCGTCCGCTATGTTGGCCTCGATCTTCGCACAGATGTCTTTGCACATGGCCAGTTATATGTTGCTCTCTCCCGGTGCACTTCCAGCCAACGTATCAAAGCTCTCCTCAGGCGTGAAAACACTCGGACTGCAAGTAACATTGTTTACCCAGAGGTTTTGCTTTCGTAAGCTTTTATGAATTCAGCTTTTATTCACTGCTGACCAATGTTAATAGTTCTAGAGTATAATAGTAGGATCTCAAATAATGTAAATAGCTGTAGAGTATAATAGTAGGATATCAAATAATGTAAATAGCTGTAGAGTATAATAGTAGGATATCAAATAATGTAAATAGTAGGATATCAAATGTCGAACAGCCGAAGGCGGGTCATGGAAAAACATGTGCTGGACTAGGTAGTGACAAGCTGGTCTCGGTCGCATAGACTGTAAATTAATCGGCTTTGTGTCCCTTGGGGGATGCTCGAACTGCATGTTCCGCGCAAAACAAAAAAGCAACTCAAAAAAATAAGACATTGCTAGAAATCAAATATACACTGAAGGGGAGTCGAACCCCTGCCGCTTGCTAACCTTCCTAAATACCGCACATATGGAAGGCAAGCATGATAACCGCTTCACCATCAGTGTCTCGTTTGTCCTGGTCCATGTTTGCTCTGTACTCATGCTTACATAGGCCGGTCAAGAATTGCGAACGTTCTGGTTCAGTAGGGTGAAACGTGACGTCATCGCCAGCGTCCTGTTGGGCCGACACATGACCCTAATTGGGAGATCACATGCTGTGCGGCCATCACGGCAAGGTATTCCATAGCAAGGCTGTCTCAAGACTCAACAACGTCACGGTGTTGACAGTGGCAAAAGTCAGGGTATGGTGGGTGGCAAAGTGGCAAACAGGATCCAGTGAGATGTATCAGTCTCTTATCCATGAATACGACGAGGGGTTTCGAGCATCTGCGTCGCCGCCGGCGGGTGCAGCGCGCACATACTGTACCATTACGACCAAGTGTTCATCAATTTCGGAATTTTCGATGTCCGGGATGCCCGATAAATTTTCTTTTGAATTAAGGCGATTTTTGCACACATCAAAAAAATCTGGGTGTGACCTGTGACTGAACACTTGGTCGTAATGGTACAGTAACAACGCGCTCAGGGGTCTGAGACTGCTGGAATCTCGGCCCTCGAGTGCCGGAGTGTCAGCCCTCTTCGTTCGAAGGATGTCTAGGCAGAATCGGATGGCGAGGTGGTTGTGGTGGAACATTCATTATGCCGCGTGATGGCCGATGTTCTCAAAAAGGCAGGTCGCTCGGATGGCCCAAATTCCCGACGCGTGTGCGCTACCCATGCGGTGTGCCGAATATTTGTCACTGACGGCGGGAACTGAGGAGTACAAATACAAGAGTCGATAGAATCCGCGGTACATCATAATCCTTTTTCTCATTCTTAATCCAAATTGGAAATAACTAGGAACGACCAATAGCTAGTTCGCAGGAACACATTGGATCTGTTCGCACTTGTCGCACGTCCTGAGCGCAGATTAGCTTGAATAAAACCAGCTGTAGCAAACGGAGAGTGAAACCCACCTCGGGATGATGAGGCAGTCGTCGCCGGCGGGGCAGAGAGCACTGCACACGGGAATGAAAAAGATCGGGCACGCGATGCAGCTCGCGCTGGGGGCGGACTGTGGGGCTGCGCCTGCGCCACGTTGAGCAAACCTAACGAAGTCAGAGTGGGTGAAGGATTTCGGAACGCACTGCCGAGGATGGATCCCATGGTGAGCGAAGTCAAGAGGAGCGAGAGGAGTCTAAACATAATCGAGACGAGATGGTGGGAAGTGGAGAGCCGTGTGGGGGATTTATGTATGTAGTAGAATCTTGCTAGCCCCGAGTTCTCCCCGGCAACTCTGCTGCGGCATGCCTGGATGCGACAGCCATCTTACATTGTGAATATGCGCGCATAACTTGTCACGATGTGTACCAGTTACAAGCCTGGCTCGGAACCGGACAAAACGGCATTTTAACAGTACACGTGAGGGAATCTGACGGTCACGTGGTCTGATATCCGGCGGCTTGAAACGGCACATAGATTTTTGCCATGAAATGATGGCATGAATCTATTTTCAGGCGGCCATTCTCATCCGGTTCCCCGGTGTGAGAGTGTAAATTTACCACTACCGAGGCTTACGGGTATTTGGGCGACAGACCGTGGTTGGGCATCTGTCAGGCAGAACCGGCTGACTCAGTTACGACACTTTTGTATTCCGGCTTTTTACATAACGAATACCACATTGTTTAACTGTTGAATTTTTTTGTACGGGTAAAACCTGACGATTTGGTCGTCCCCGGATCTACGGCATCTCTGTCCGTGTACTACAGCAATGACTGATGAAGTGGCTTGGTGGCTCGGCAGGCTCCCACACTGCTCTAACTTGACGCCAACATGCTCATAATCCGGCTTACGTTGATGTCCGCAACGTCGGAGTTCCCTTCTCACGCACGGCGATAGAAACCCGGAGCGTTGCCGATGGTTTGATAGATGATGGCCGTCACGGCGGTGTACGTGATTGGAGACACATTGCCAGGAACGTGAAGCCATATTGAATGGAGTTTCCAGTTGACCCGAAGCGTGGTACATAGTCACATACTGCCCGCAATATCCGTCAGAAGTGGTGTCTATCCGCTCAGCCAGGGCACCGTCCGCCTTGGTAAGGATTAAATAGTTCAAATGCCCTAGGTTTGAGACGATCCAGGTCACTTTGCAAATACAGCATCACAGCATTTTGGGTCTATCCCGGGCACACCGGGAACAGTGGCGAAATTTGGCCGAAATCAAGTTCATTTCTCCGCCCCAGAATCTCGACGACTGTTACATATACAGTCAAAGCTATCATAACCCATAGGCCTTGGTGGACACCTAAAGCTATGGGTTATCACAGCGTATGGGCTATGAGAGCCGTGGGAATTGCTTCGGCAAACGCCGCATGCATTTGAATGTGGCTTGTGAGCTCAAGCACCTACTCATGCAGGTGCATTAACTGTCTGGGTACCTGAATGTTACATCTTAAGCCCAGCATACCATGAAAATGGCATGGAGTGGTGAGTTGATCATGATCAAGCCTGTTGATCTTGTGTTCTGACTGGCTGGGCAAGGCCCTCAGCACACCCAGTATACTCCCTTACTCATTTTGAACCATGATTATGGAGAATCAGGATCTCCGTGCTCAAGTTGAACTTCAAAATTAGCCATAAGCCTACCAAAAGTATGGGATTTTGCCCTCAGAAATGTATGGGTTATGGAGTTTCACAGAGTTATGGGATTTAATTGGGAACCACCTCCGTGGATGGCCAAAATCTATGGGGTAGTACAGATTATGGGTTATGACAGCTATGGGTTATGACAGCTTTGACTGTATAGCAGTGCCTCAGTACTCAGCCTGTCCAGTCGCCGACAACAGCGCTACAATTGCGATGCAAAATCAAGTAGTCAAAAAACGTGTAGCAGAGTCAAAAGGAGGACCTACTTGGCGGTGGTCATCCCCTCAAAAGCCGCTCTGTAAATCCCAAGCTTGACACTATGAAAATAGCAGTCAGCAACAGGAGATTGCCATGGGGGAGCATGGTATCGAATAGAAACACTTACTATGTGACACCGGTGCCCATTTGCCCGGTGGCCGAGTAGCTGATGACCTCCAATCCATTATCGTCCCTTGTAACTTTATACGTGACGCTTCCAGATGAGCCAGTTTTACCTCTGTCGGAGCGCGATTTATCAGTCCTTCCAGACCCACGTTTCACTGGCAGAGCATCACGTACGAGATGGTATGCGTCGTCGTGGTCCCGTGATAATTCGTGATATCGGTCGTGGGACACGCTTTGGCGCCACAGGACGCCTCGCCGTCGCCGCGCACAAAGTCGTGGATCGCGACTGTCCCGCTCACAGCATCGAGCGTCACCACTGGCTCGCCCGCCGTGTCGTCGAAGAGCTGCATCAGATGGAAGAAGCTCGTGCCCGTCCCGGTCGACGCGTAGAGGTATTGCTTCCAGGTGTAGGAGAACGAGGCGCCTAGGGAGGAGGGGAAGCCCGGGTCGAGCTGTTTGGTCGAGTCCGAGGAGAGGAAGAGGGAGTAGCAGTTGATTCTGTACAGCCCTGCGAGAGGACACCTGGGAGTGGAGAAGAGGGGTGGAGTGAGTGCCTTCTGTGAAGATGGGCAGAAAGGTAGGTACCTGTCGCTTGCCAGATTAAGCCGTCAATGGTCCCCGAGCCCTCGGAAGTGCCGCTGTTAATAACGGTTTCGCGGCGCTCGAGCGAACGAGTCACGTTGGACGCAGGTACGGCGAGTGCGCCGAAGACGGAGATAGTCAAGGCAAGCAGAAGAGACGTCGACCACACTGGCATTCTGGAGTTTGCAGCGCGGGACTTGGTTATTGCAGAGACAGCCACAATCCCTCTGTCTTATATACATTCTACGAGTGCAAAAATTGATAAATGCAAGACGGCGACCTATTGGGCACAGTTACGATGTATCCGGAAGACGAACCGCATTTTTTTTTCCGCTGCCACTGCTTGTCGAGTCATTCTTGCTCGTCTGCACAATGGCTGAAGTTGCACTGGCCATTCTTATGGCAGCATCCCAGGCCAGAGAGACAGAGCTGCGCGCACATAATACTTGTATTTTGCCGGCTATTTGGATCAAGTCCGACGTCAACATGATTATACTGTACCATTACGACCAAGTGTTCATCAATTTCGGAATTTTCGATGTCCGGGATGCCCGATAAATTTTCTTTTGAATTAAGGCGATTTTTGCACACATCAAAAAAATCTGGGTGTGACCTGTGACTGAACACTTGGTCGTAATGGTACAGTAGCTGACCTGGTTCGCGTTCGCACACTCGCCTCTAGAAGACCGAAATGGACCTCAATGCACTAAAAGTTGAAAGGCTGACGAGCGTGCTTCGCCGTCGCTGCCGGATGGTCAGTAGACGAACTTGAAGATTGAGACGCTTCTGTGCTACTGACGCGCCACTGATGCCTGCTCACCTCCGAGTCTCTTCCGGAGAATTCCTAGCCAATGATAGGTGCAGAATTCGTCAGTCAGTCAGAATTAGCACAATTTGGTCAGTTGCTAAAATAAACATGCCATATTCCAAAAAATCAAATCCGTGATAGTCGGGATTTGAGACAGCCTCCTCCGCGCTCACATCAATATCCTTAACCTTGGCTGCCGTCATCTCGGTCCCCGTCTTTGATGACAGAACATGCAGGAATTCGACAGCAGTCGACAGCAAGGTTAACTGGTGTGATTTGGGCTTTAATGGGTGTCACCGGCCGGGCAACTCGGTAGCCGGAGAGCTTTGCCGAAGCACACGTGCTGAGCAATCCCCGGGCCGGTCATCTCAAGGTCATCTTATGACCTCCAGAGTTCTGCCGAGGTGTCAGATAGTGCCACGCTTCCGAATCGGTAGCGGCGGCAAGCGCCGGTCCCCTACTCTGTTCAGTCACGACACCCATGCTTGAATGGAATACATGGTGGGATAACGACGTTGGCTGGGCCATAAACCTCATAACCCTCTCTGCTCCACTATAAAATGATGTCTTCGGAAACCCGACCGTCTATTTTTGACAAGCTTGAA